AAAAAAAAAAAAAAAAAAAAAAAAAAAGAGACCAGATGAAATCATTTTGGAACTCACTGTTCAACTAATTTAGGTGGAAGTTTCCTGAGCAGTGGCACAAACAAATAAAGAATAATAAAGGACACTGATGCAAATTATATAAGGGATACTTGAAAAACACAATGAATGTTTAAATCCAAAATAAAAAAAAACCTTTTTAACAGTAAAAGACACATTGCCAAAAATGATGGGGGAAAGTGTGCTCAAAGTGAGGGAGAGTAATTTGACTACCCTGAGGGGAATAATGGCAATGTGTCTTTTAATGTAATAGAATTTTAATTTAAATATTCAGCACATGTTTTGATCACCCCTCACTGATTAAACACTTGTGGCAACTTCTGTTAAATAAAAACAATGTGGAGTGCCCTCATCTAACTTATTCACCAGACCTGGCACTATTCATCTTCTAAGTCGTCCTCAATGTCAAAATGACCATGAAAGGTAAACATTTAAATCAATTCAAGACATCCAGGCAGCCATGACAGCATAACTAAAAGACATTCATTAAAGAGGACTTCCCAGGGCTGCTTGAGAGAGTGGCAAGAACTATGGGACTTGTGTGTTTGAAGTGAAGGATTGTAATTTAAGGAGGATTACTGGTGATGTGAAATAATTACTTTTTAAAAATGTAAACACTGGATTTTTCAATTATACTTCATATGTATGTGTGTACATATACATCTATTCCCTATAACCAAATGGCAGGAGTCCCTAGCATACTGACAATTTTCCAAAAATGAATTAGTATTAGAATATGATATATGCAACCTGAATGGGTTTTCGCTGTCATACCTCACTTTTTCATGGAGATGATTTCTTAATTCATCAACTCCATTTTAGTTACACTTTAACCTATTAAAAAAAAAAACTTTATATAACCTGACAAGCAGAATTAAAACTAGGGTCCAAAAAAAACAATTTTTATATCTCATGGTAATTTCATTTTGAAAGAAAAAAATGTTCACTACTAGTTCACTGAAATGGTTTAAATTAAATTAAGATCTATAAAAACAAAGAATTTATTTGAGTTTACAAGAAGTACAAAGTTACACATTATAAACTTAACTACAATAACATAGCAACATTTTTCAAAGTTATATCACTTTACATTATTACTGATGATTAGCTCTTTTAAATTTTCCACGTACATATTTTAATAAAGACAATTAAACAAGTAATCAACCCAAGTTAAGCCAAGCCAAATAATTGTTTCCTACTTACCTATAATTGCTATTTTATTATGAAATAGACACAGATAAGAAATTTTACCTTTTATCTTAAAAATAAAAACAGTTCATAGCAGAAGGTTGAGAGTAATAGAGGGCTGAGGAATGATCCCTCCACTCCAGAGACAGTGTATCAGCATCTCCGTATTTTGAAGTTATCACAATGGGAAGGAATATTATTTTAATATAGTCAACAGAAAAATGCAACTTAATATACTTCTCTTTCTCTTTTTCTGTCTGAAGCTCTAAGTTTCAAATCTTTCCCTTAAAATTTTGGCTTCCGAAATAAAGACACTTAGAACACAACTCTCCACCAAAAACTCTGTTAATAAAGTAAACTAAAAATGCAGCATGTACTTCACATACCTTCTTGAGGTGTCCCAGTCTAAGTTTGAAAATTTCTTCCTGTTCATGATATTCCGCCAAAGTCAACCTGTCAAAAGTAAAACTTTAACTCTATATTTTGATATTAATAATTATTATTTCTTTTTTTAATACTTATTATTTTCTTATTAACCAACAAAATATAGTAAAACTGACCAAATGGGAAATAATAAAACACTGACAACTTTAAGCCAAAAATCCTCACAAAAGTCTTCAGAATACATTTGCTACTTATCGATGAAACAATTAACTAATTCAATAACTATTTGATAAATACCACATATCAAGTGATACTCCAGAATTTAGAGCCTAAGGATATAGAGAAAAGATAAGTTCTCTTTACATCTTGGTTTGGGTTTACAATCAATAGTGAGGTTAAGGAGATAGAAAAAAAACTCAGTAATAAAATAATTTTAAGTAATGTTACAAAGAAAAAAGGGTGGTATGATAGTGGTGATTATCACTGCTAAATTGTCTTACTTGGTGGGCAACCATAAGAAGACTTGGGAATGCCAACTCTTTAAGACCGAAGCACTCAGCATTTAGGAAAACAAATGAGTGGGCCAGGGATTCAGCTCAGTGGCACCGCACCTGCTTTGCAAGTGCAAGGTCCTGAGTTTGATCCCTGGTACCTCAAAAAGAAAAAACAAAAATCCAAAATAACAACAACAACAACAAATGAGAATGCAGGGAATGGAGGAAACAAGACTATTTTACCGTTGAAATTTTCAAAACAACTGGGATAAAGGGAACATCCTCAGTATTATGCAAGGCATTTATACAAACAGATAACTGACAGCAAACTTAATGGTAAAAGATTAAAGATTTTAAGATCAGGAATGAAACAAGCATGCCCACTTTAACAAGTGCTATTTGATATGGTACGAAAAGTCCTAAGAGAGCGTTTAGGTAAGGGGAAAAACACATACAAGTTATAAGGGAAGAAGTAAAACTATCTGTATTCACAGATGACATGATTCTTTATGTAGAAAATTCCAAAGAAGGGACAAGGGAAAACAAACAAAACAAAACAAAACTGAAGCTAATAAACTCAGCAAAGATAGAGTTTGAGATCATAGTACAACAGTGTTTCTATACACAAGAAATGAATAACCTTTAAAGGCTATTAAGAAAAAAAAATTCCATCTATAATAGCATGCAAGTGAATAAGATATTTAAAAATAAATTGAATCCAGGAATTGAAAGACATATACAGAAAACTATAAAATACTGTACTGCTAAAGAAATTACAGTTGTAATAATTAAGTGAAAAGTTATCCTATGTTCATGATTTGAAAGATTTAATACTATGAGGACAATACTCCCTAAAGTGAAAAATTAAAGTTATAATTTGCATTCTTACATTAAAAATTCTGCACAGAAGTCAAAGCCTAGTTTCCAATAGATGGTGGTTCACAGTAAGTTTTTAGAAACAGTTGCCAAGAAAGCTGCTAAAATTTATTTACAAAAGCATTTCTTCACCTGTAAATCCCAGCACTCTAGGAAACTAAGGCAGGAGGGTCATATCTTCAAGCTCAAGAGGGCTGGGGATATAGCTCACTTAGCACTAAGGTCCTGGGCTCAATCCCCAGTCCTGCAAAATAGATATATAGCAGAGCATTTCTTAAACTATAATATAGCGTTCTAATGCAGGTGCTTCTGTGGCCTTCCCCCTGTTTAAATGTGCATTTTAAAACGACAATTATCTCACTTAGCATCACTACACTAATCACAATCACATACTAGTATCACTACAGCGTGAGTTGTAAGTCAACACATGCAATTAAATGAGAAGGGAATGAGATAGGACTATGATTATTCAACTATAGGTACAGCTGTTACCACCTTGGAAGACAAGTAGTAAACAAAACACCTTATGACAAACTAGAGAAATGGTTTAATGATGGAAAAAATGAAATTTAATTAAATGCTTATGTACTGTCATTTAGTATTTACTGACCACTTTCCTTATGCCAGGAGCTATGCTAGATATTGAGAGTATAGGATGAATTGTGATATACAAGTAAATGCTACAATATAGAAAGGAATATACAAAAGGTCACAGACAACTAATCTGATGGGCAATGAGGATTAAACAGGGAAGAAAATGATTACATATTGGATTTGAGAAACTTAAAGAATAAACAAGAAATGAGACAGATGAAGGCAAGGAACACGATGAACAAGGGCACAGAAACCAAGAAAGTACAGCCCATACAGAGAACTGACAATTTAGCACAGAATACATGTTGAGGAATGAGGCTAAAAAAAAAAGGAGGTTTATGAAAGGTCTTTAGGTGGGTGAATTTTATCTGAAGGTCTCTGAAGGGGCTTACATAAGGTGACATGATGAGACACCCAAGAAATAGTAATAGATGTTAAAAAGAAAAAGTGAAGCATTATACTAAGACAGTGGCCATATAAATGAAAAGAAGGGGAAAGTGATGAATGAATATGTTATGGAAATGGATGTGGACAGTGAGGGAAAATTAAACATCTAAGATGACTCCTAGATTTCTGGTCTCATTAAATGAGCAAATGAGATAGAGGGTACTATGGCAACTCCTCAAAAGGATCACTAACTCCTATCCTTAAGGGGGTAAGAAAAAGGTTTCAGTGGTAACCCTTAAAATTAAGACAATAAGTTCTGGGTATAAAAGTTGGCCATGAAGGGGAGGTATTGAGCAATTGCAAAGATGAGGCTAGACAGGTCAGAAGAAGCTGATCAAAAGTACTTTATAAGCCATATATGGAGCTTAGATTTTATCACCTACGTAATAAAGAACTATATTAAGGTTATAAGGAAGAGAATTTGGAAAAAATGACTGACTTACATGAAAATGGATTATAAGACTAGACCAAAGTTGAAAAGTGAGGATACAATAATAACCCAAGTTGGGTTAAAAATGTAGTTCAGGGGTACAGTGAGTGTTTAGCATGCACAAGGGCCTAGGTTTGATCCCCAGCACCAAAAACGAAAACAAACACAAAACACTAAAGTTACTTGAGTTAGAATGGAAACTTACATAAAGTGTAAGTGAACAGATCTGAGGTACAGAAGCAAGGGGTTTCTACAGAGGTCAATTTAAAGCTAACACATTTTCTTTTAATACAACCATTCACCTGCCCATTCATTCTCATTTTTTAAAAGCAACACATTTACTAATTTACAAAAAGCAAACAATTTGGCAAGCGCAAGTTTTTTCTCCACTATTGATAGCCAAATGTTGTAACAACTTAAAACAATTCAAGAGAAATTAGGAAAAGCTTAAAGAAGAAAACAAATTCTGAAATGGATTTTTAAAGACAAGATTACCATCTCTCACTCATGAATGGGTTAAGAAAGATCAATGGACTCTATGGTGACAGCCAGAATTCTGGAAGAAAGGATGATAGTGACATTTATTAGTAGAGAGGGCAAAGGAAAGAGCAAAGAAAAGGCATCAGGTAGGTGTGCGGAGAGAATAAAATGGAGAAGATAAGTGATCTGTAACTGAGGGAAATTTTACCTAATTACTTTCCTTCTCTTTCCCTCTTTTTCTCTCCCTTCTCTCCCACCCTCCCCTCCCTCCTGTCACAAAATGTTTTCTGAAAAGAAGGAACAAGTAGAAGGCAAAGTCTGAAGATGTAAAATAAAGGAAATATCGACAGAAGTCCCTAATGTAGTATAAAGACTGTGATTCAAGGCAGTATGTTTCAACAGAGGAGAAAAGAATATAACTACACAAAGCATCAAAGGACATATACACTTTCTATGCACATAAATGTATACTAGAAATGGCAAGTCAGATAAGTTTGCATGCATATGGACCGTGAAATTTTAACAATGGTGTTCTCTGTGGGATGGATTGTGGCCTATCATTTTATCAATCTCTTCCATATTTTCAAAATTTTCTACAATAAGCATGTAACTATTTTTAAATATCTTTGTCCTTTGAATTACATGGTGCAATTCACAAAGAAAATTCAAAAGAACAAAGAAAGCAGAAAAAGAAAAACAATATCCATAACCTCTTAATAAATTACTCTCTCAGGTTGAGAAAATAAATATCAGTTACAATATTGAACAGTTATTGGCCAGGCATGGTGGCCACACCTATAATCCCAGCACTCGGGAGGCTGAGGCAGGAGGATCACTGTGAGTTTGAGACCAGCCTGGGCTGCATAGTGAGTTCCAGGTCAGTCTCAACTACACAGTGAGACCCTGTTCTCGAAAAACCAAAAAAAGAAAAAGAAAAAGAAAGAAAGAAAGAAAGAAAAAGGAACATTAATGAGAACACTGAATTACAATAATCAAAACTCTGACTCTGTTTCTACATGAAAGGATAGAGTCGTTTCTAATTAAAAAGGTAGAAGTCACATATTTAGGGCTTATTAATTCAGAGCTAATTTACAGCTAAGTGTCTTCTTTCCTGGCCATAACTAGTTTTGCTTATGAGTATTAATTTAATTATAAATAGCATCCATTACTAACATCCAGGCTCCCCATTAAGAATATGAAAAAAGAAAATTTAAAATAGAAGCTTACAGTTGTGGTAAATTTGGTCTAACAAAGGGATCATTTTCTGCTCCATTGACTGCTTTGTTTTTTCTTTGTTTTGGTTCAGAATTGGTAGAAGGTGCCTGAGAATTATTAGCTGTGGGAGGTTTGCGTTTGGCTAGAAGTTTTCTTTGCCTTTCAATATCTTCCCTTTGCTGATTCACCCATTCTTGTTGCCTGTATAAAAATGAACAAGTAAAAATTATATTAAGATTCCACTATTTTTCACAGTTACAACATGAAAAAATACAATCTAAGAAAACATAAGAAATCACTTAATAAAGATTTGAAAGCTTTTGGTCCTTTTCTTGTGAAGCTCATCTTTTCTTGTGGTACTCATTTTTCAGGTCTCATTCGAAACAATCATGAGGTATTCCCCAAGCTCCTGATATATATAAGCTCATGGTACCTTGTCTCTACCTCCACCTTTTTCAAAAATATCATCTAAATATATTTCACTACAATGTCTGGTTAGCATACATCACTCCATAAGAAGAGATTGTATCTATTTTGTCTCCTAGTGTAGTACTAGCATCGTGATCAACATGTACTAGATGTACTCAATATTTATTTGTTGAATGATGCAAATGAATGAGAAAAACCACCTAAACTGAACAATATGGGATAGATTTTATACATGTATCTTCATAGCTGTACATCTGCAGAAGAGCTTACCAAAAAATAATATGAAAAGTGTAATTTGCTAAATTCATCTGTTAAAAAATCCTGGGATGAACAGTCAGTATTTTGAAATGAAACAAAAATTGACCTTAATGTAAAAATTTAGGGGGAAAATGCATTGTGATAATTTAAGGAACATTAGAATAACGAAATAGCAAAAAAAAAAAAAAAAAAAAAAAAA